TTGTCCCCCCCCGTTGCAATGACATTCTGCATGAAGCACCAATGTCGGGCAGCATGTGGCCAGTGCCAATGATTCAGACCCGCTTGGAGCAGATTGACACGAGTGCCTTCAAGAACTGACCGGACTGCTCTCTCGGCTTGGGCGTTGGACTTGGATACGTAGTCCCTACTTAAGACATGACGGCACTGAAGGATCTTCATTGCTGAGATTAACTCAGGCGCATTGTCACTGTAGAAGACTCCTATCTTATCTTCATGTCCAACAAAGTGTTTAATTGCCAAGATAGCAGCATTGGTGGTTCGTCTGGCATTGGGGTAGACATACATAAATCCTGTAGCTATGTCCTTCACGACGAGTGCACTTTTCTCATCATCGATCCCCAACTCATCTTCATCTCTGGTGACAATAAAATCAGCAGTGATGTGGTCACCAAATTTCTCAGCTTTAACTTTGGTTGATCCGCCTACGGTTCTTGAGGGTGGCTTGAACATCTTAGCTCTGGTGCATATGTCACAAAAGGGATTCTTAGGGATGTGAGTCAGCATGTGTCGAATAGACTTGGCTTCTTCTCTCAAATCTTTCTCCCCTAGTGACCTCTTGTGAGCACCATCATCATGGACATTACTACTGCTACCCTTGGATCCTTCCACAGGCGGCTCAACCTCCCGGTCGGCATCAGGAACATCAACCTCCTCAGCCTCCAAGGGCTGGGGCTCCGGTAAGTCAACGTTAATACCCATGGGGTCATCACCAATGATTTCAATGTTCCCATCGGGCTCCGGAGATTGTTGAGCTTCATCTGATGCCGGGGTGGCAATACTTGGTCTAGGCTGAGTTGATGGAGTGGAAATCGTCTTTGAATTGTTTGCAAAGTAGGGTACGTAATCTCTGACAACTAACTCAATGCGTTCCCCATTCGGTTTGACCATGTAGGGAGGTTCACCTTTGGATCCTCTCCATATGAAGTCGGAACCATCATCAATGCACCTCATCCCGACTGAAATGACAGGAGGTGAGCTTCGAACAAGATATGGGTCAATGGTCTTGCCTAATTTAGGAACAAATACCTTCCCTTGTTTCGATGACGAACTTTCACCATTGGCAGTAATCATGCGAATGGGATTGTTGGAGTAGTATCCATAGTCATCCGGCAATTCACTATCATTGACAAGATCTTGAGCACTCCCCGTATCTGCAATCCAGTCAAGTTCGAGGTTGATCGCTCCCTTCACGTCTTCTCTACATTCCGCAGGGGTGGCTTTGATTCCCTTTGGGATACATTCATTGCAACCAAAATCTGTGTCACATAAATAGGCACATTTGCACTCAATTCCCCGAAGACAATTGGAAACAGATCCTGCTAACATGGTACCGGTCAAAGCGGCATCATTTACAGCAAGTTGATCAACTTCAAATTGATGTCCCCATGGAAAGGTAACCTTGTCCTTGGTGACTGCGTTTCCAATTGGCCTCAAGTTCCCTCGGACTTTCACATGAGATACGTCCGGTGAATCATCAAAACGAATCGATGGACAAAATACTCTTGGTTGAGGGATACAAAATGCCTGAGACACGGATGCAAGCATGGATGCAACAAGACAAACTGCGGCAGGAGACGGCTTAGATGAACTGGCCCCGGATCCTTTAGACTTCGGGGATTTCGGGCTCTTGGGGCTCTTAGAGCGGCTAGAGCTTCGGGATCCCTTCCTTTTCGGGTTCTTGGGATTCTTCTTTTTATTTTTGTTTTCGCTACTGGCCGAACGGGCAGGAGTAGCTTGTCTTGGTTTTCCCACTGAACCCTCATGAAGGAATTTGCAATCAGCTCCTCTATCGCAACGTCCCTGTTTCCAAAATTTGCAAATCTTCTTACCTTTCCCCTTTGGTCTGGGAGAACCAGAACGTTCATTTGAGCGACCTCTGGTTTTGCTGGGTTTGCGACTTCTATCACCTGGCTTGGGGACTTCATGCTTGTAAGTACAGTTGTCCTTGCTACAGCCTCCCTTATTCCATGCCACACAATACCCCTTGGGAATGAATCCTGTCTTGCCCTCGACTGCAGGAGCGGAGGGACGACCGGAACCCGAAAGACCTTTGGCAACTCGATCACGATTTGCCTCCAACCTCTCACGGTCAAGGTGGCGTCGCACGGCAGAAACAAGGAAACTGTAGTTCCGTTTTTCGGTTCCTTCATCAGCTCTATGATACTCATTCATGTCATGTTGGATGGCCTTACAATTCTTCACTTGTTTGTAGAAGAGTGTCTCCAATACACTCACATCAGGAGTCTGGACGATACCAGCCAACACTTGATCCCAGTTCGAAATGAAAGACTTCAAATTCTCCCCACGCAATTGGACACTGAACAAATCTTGAAGGGCATACGTTGCTCCGTGCTTGATGTTGGTACTAAAGTGGTCATGCAACATGAACAACACTTGTCTCCCTCTTACAATCCGTCCAGCGGTGGCTTCAGTCTCTTTGAAGGTATCTACCTTGCGGGCGAAGTCACCGGTGATGATATTGGTGAGTGCAGAAAGTAACTTTGCATCAAGTGTCGCAAACGGCGCAACCTTCCGGAGCGCTTCAAGGGTCTGTTCTTCTTTCCAAGAATCACTAATCCACTTGAAAGCACTGTCGGGATCGGTCGATGCTGCTACAACTGCTTCTCTAGTCTTGATTCTCCAATTGCGATAGGTTTCTGCCAATGGGAATGCTGGGATCTTGATGGTGTCAGCTTCCTTGACCTTGGGTTTGTCATCATGCCTTGGATCAATGTAACCACCTAGAAACTTGATCATCCTTCGCCTGAACTTCTCATCATCATCATCATTGGGATCATCATCACCGTCATCACCGCCGTCAGGAGGATTGGGACCAGCCCTACCTTTTCTGGGTGCCTTACGGTTCCTATCCCCTTCAGGTTTATCAATCGGATCAGGTGGTGATGGTGGCCCACCTCCCCCGTTCCCTCCGTTGCCATCTCCTCCATCCCCTGGATCGTCCCCATCAGGCGCATCATCGCCCCCCGGCTCGAAGTACTCCATCTCATCTGGGCCTAGTTCGGTCGGGGCATATTGATTGGTCGGTGCTGGGGAATTGACACTATCCATGGGATGGTTATCTCGGCGACGATTATTGGCCTCTCCTCCCGAAGGGCGTTCCTCAGCGGAAGACCTTGCAACATCCGACTCCTTCTTCACTTGAACTGGGACTCGATATGATGGATCATGATAAATGATTTCAATACCATCCTTTTCATAAGTCTTGGCATCAGGTGAAGTAAAGTTGATCGGCGTTCTTGCAATTGGAGGTCGGGCTACATTGGTTGGAGGTGCTGCGGGTGCAGCCTTGCGGGTCGGTGGAACAAATTCGAAATTTGGGATCTCCGTTGATTCATGGGTTCCGGCTGTCATAGTCATAGCGGCAGTTTCGACAATAGGACTTGGGCGAACCTGAGCAAATTGGGAATCGAGCATACTTTGCAGTTTCAGATTGTGTTGCATCTGTGCTTGTACCATGTGTTCAAGCTGTGTAATGCGCTCATTCTGAACCCTTCTCTCTTCCTCAGCTGCTCTTCTCAATTCAAGGATCTCTTGCTCCTTACTTGATAGTGATTGTCGATGGTTAGCATCAATGACACGTTGATATGCCTGAATTTTCTCATTCATCTGAGCTTCACGGAACCTTACATGTTCGTGCGCCTCATGCTGTAAGTTCTCTTTATATTGAGCACCCGCATTTAAAAGTTCCTGTTCTTTGATTCTGATAGCATCTAGGGCCCTCTGACTTTCAATGCCCTCGCGGACTCGCAGAGCTTCCTTCAACTCCTCAGTCTTGGCTGTGTGGACGGCTTCGGCCTGAGCTTCGGTGTGAGCCAACACCTCACGATGACGGAGCTCGGCCGCTGTTTCCACAAGGCTTGTCATTGCAGGATCATGTGAATGGACATGCAAGTTCTGCTCGACAAAATTGACTTGAGGATTATCCATCTGCACATTGTGATGAAATGTATTGTGAACATTCATTTGGTTCAACTGGCGAGTCGGCGGCCCACCCTCCCGAGCGGCTTGGGGAACACAACCACAGTGGTTGAAACCCACATGGGAAGGCACAATTGCGTTACCCATGGGTGGGAAGTGGCGGCGTTCCCTTAGGCTTCGTGACTTATCGGAAGATGGTGGGGTGCTTATATCAAAACTAAATGGGGTGTTACTTATAGGCAAGTTACCGGGATTAGCCATGGCGGCGTCAGAGGACATGCGCCCGGTGCCCTCGGTGGAAGAACCCGAGGGGGCAGACATTGCCTACAAAAGAGAAGTTAGCTTACGGCTGATAACCTGTTTGACAGGCTAACAAGCCACAAAAGGACAGCAGTTACGCGCTTGTTTCTTGAGCCATAAGCACGACATAGTATAGGTGAGAATGGTAAGTATATACAGTGATACATGTGAAAAACACTTCAAATTCTGTCACAATGTGACAACTTTGAGATATGACAATTTATGATAGGTTGGTGGTTTCAACCCCTCTGAGAAATATTAGTCAATGGGAAGGATTATCCCGTATGTTAAATAATTCATGATGGAATCACATATTATCCCATATGATTATATTAATTATAATATGGCATCATTAATATCATATTAATATCATATTAATATCATAGATATGGCCAGAATATGAACCATCCATATCCATATCATATTAATATCATATAATTCTGTTATATTCTGATATGAATGATGTTTTGGAATCCCACCCCCTTCCCGTTGCGCGCCTGGTGGACACCTCCCCAGCTGCAGCTGCCCTTCATATGGCGCCTTGCAGCCCACGTGGCCGGCGCCACTTCCACGACAGCGCGAGGTGTCGAAGACGCACTGGTCCAATTCGATGGGGAAACAGGGCTCCTGGAGGAAATACTTTCTGGGTGATCCCAGATTTAGATTTTTTAAGGAAAAAAAACATATCATTTGGATTGGACTTCTGATGTTGAGATATTCTTAGATGGTCTTTTTAATGAATGGTGCAATTTTTGTATTTTTTGGTTGTGTGTGATGATTTTGATATGGCAAGTTTTGATGTTTCTGCAGAGTAACTTTCAAATGTTTGTTTTTGAACATCAGTCGAGATTTACCACCGCAATGCTTCATCATCGAATAAGGGTTCAAAGGGATAATTTGAGGCTTCACTTTCATTGAACTGTGCCTGACTTTGACATGGCTAGTTTTGATCATGGAACACCACAGTATTCCTCTGCTGGCAATGTCCTCCTTGTTGCATCCTTCCAAGCTCGGTTCCGAAGAGCAGTAGCTGCTGAGGTAGCAATCCACCTGGCAACGTGTCTTTGGTGTTGACAAACAAATCTGATTACTTTTGACAAACAAATACTTTGGGGAACATCATTACTGGCTGAAGGTGAAAATCCATTCACCACTGGCAGGTTGGGCACCTGCACAGAACCAGCATAGCCCGCAGCACAAACCCAGCTGCCGTTCAGGCGTTGATACGCCACCGGCACCGGGTTGATCTCAGGGCAATCCAAACCTCAGAGTACATCAACCATTCAACCAATCAACCAACAAAGTTGTAAAAAATCAAGGTCAAGTTGCAACATGTTACATATGTTACATGTTTATTGGTTGATTTCTTCATTTTTTCCAACTTGTCCAACCAAAATCCAACCAGCACATCCCATCCCAACTGATCCGAGGATTGGACGACACGAGGGCAACGTCCAACTCATCCGTTCGAAGCGATTCACGTTCTCCGCCGGACACTCGGCACGGCCGTTGCCGCCTTCCTCAAACGTCTGCCGCAGTTGGTGCGGAAGAACTATGGATTACCAGTTCTAGTTGTTTGTTTGGAGCGCCATGGTGAGTTGGTGCTATGATCAAAGTATCCGAATGTTGGATTATGTTGGATTGTTTTCTTAAGTTGTAGCATGTTGTAGCCATACCCGAACCTGATCCAACTGAGTTCGTCTCAAACTCGTGCACCACAAAAATCCCCATGGTTTTGATCACCATCTTCCCCATTAAAAACACGGCCCTCATCGTCGGTCTCCACAATCTGCCGAGGTGCCGCCAGCACATATGGAGGATTGCACTTGATCTCGCAGGATTCACCACTCTGCACGTCGCTGCAGTTCGAAAAGTCGTATTCGCAGTTGTCTAAATCCTCAGTTGCTAGGGAAGTGCTGCAAACTCAGCTGCCTTCCGGAAAAAACCATGGGAAAATGCGGCAGAATATGGCGGAATGGCAAAGATATACCAGCAAAAAGCCAGGTCCCATGAGTTACTCATGAGGTAGCTATCAACCATTCAACCAATCTCCATCAACCATGCTGGTGCCAGCTGTTACCCCAACAGCTTCGACCTTTCACCAGTTGTCGAGCTGCCAGGGGCAAACAGCCGTGCACTTTGGCACAGCCCCACAGCTTGGGCGCAGAGAAGCAGGTGCGGGTGGAGTTGCAGCTTTTCACAGCCTGAACAGCATGGCATCAGTGATGCCCCATCAGTGATCCAGGGAAAAACAGGTGGGAAATTTGACTTATAGACCTGAAACATGTAGAAAAATGATGGATTGATGTGGATTCTTAGGATCATCACCAAGGCGTTTATAGACGTTATAATATATATATATGGTTTTATATGTTTTATAGTGAGCAAAACCATCTGAAGATCTCAGTTCAGGGACATGGCCGACGAAGCCAGGTGCGCAATGCCAACCTTCTTCAGACCTCGGTCAGAGGTTTCCAGAAATCTTGGCCAGGGCGGAATTCACCAACAAATGTAACACATCTTGATGGAATCATGCTGAAAGTCATTGATTTCATCATGATTTCCATGATGTTCATCCAAAAATTGGCATATAATCATATAATTCATGATTTTTATCCAATTATTGGCCTATAATTCATGATGTTCATCCATTTTTGGCCATGTAAATCTGGAGCTGTTGCTGTTCCAAGTTCCCAAGGCTCACACTTCAGATAGCCCTCTGGAATGGGTGAGGGATCTGGGCATTCGCAGCTGGGGGGCCTGGGCGGCAATGGGAAGCTCATGGAAGCTCCAAAGAGATTTTAAAAAGCGACTGGTACCACTGGTACCACTATTTGTGCAATTTGACTGTAGAAATCTTGTTGATGATTTTTGATGATTTTAATTTTCCATCATTTTCTATCCTTTTTGACAGCCAACACCCTTGACTGGAGCTGAAGGTGGCCCGACGTCCATTCCAACGGCTGCACCACCGTGTTTCCGTCCGGACATTTCGCAACCGTGGGCTGACCCACCTGGGCACGAAGCCACATCGGAAGGCTTCCCAAGATCTGATTTGGATGGGTTTCACGAAGATGTTCAATAGTTCAAAGATCTCACTAGTTCCAACATCCTTCAACTGCTGTCAGCACTGTCCGTTTGATGGAGAAGTTCGAAGCCATCCAAAGTGGCCGAAAAATGGTTGGCCACTTTTGCATGGCCATCACCCACTGGGCTTCCCAAACATATGGTGACCGGCATTGCACCAGGCAGGTGTCTCCAGGCCTCACAGGTGTCATTCTTTGGGCTCCACCCGGGTCCCAGTTTTTCAAAAACAGCTGAGGCACGCTTCACGTCCGCAGTCGAAGGTATAGAGACACCTCGTTGTGGACTCTCAAGTCATTTGAGGATGGATCAAGAGCTATGAAGTGCCGAAAAATATCATGAATTTGAGGAATAACAGCTATTGAAGCACAAATTTGAGGATCAAAACCCATCTAACGGCCATCTAAAACGGCCATTCAACGGGCATGTTTTCCATGTCAAGAGACGGATCGGCTTCAGGCACCGTGCAGGTCTGCAGTCTCACCTGTTTGGAGATGGGTTGAACGGATTTTTTCGCCATTTTTTCGCCATTTGAATAGGAAAATCCAGAAAAAACCATAGGAAAATCCATTTCAGAGCAATCCATAGTAAAATTGTCCAGAAAAATCCATGGATCAAATTGGGTGAGTCCAAAAAATCGATTGGTGGACCATGATGATCATGGAATCTTCTGTGCCCCATGGTGGACGGCCACGGCCAGAGATGCCCAACGTCGCCCTGGGGCCCCCAGCGCAGCCCGTTAAGGTGCTGGGAGACACGTCGCAGTTCTCCATGCTGCAGACCACCTGCACCTGAGAGATATATGATGCATATGACATACCAGTAGTATAGTTACAGTAGTTAATATATTCTGTTAATATCATTTAATCCAGCCATTGTATAGTATAACTAGTATAACCACCATTACAATGGTGAAGATGATATAGCAGCGATAATTGTCCATAATTCACGATGTTAGTTTTTTGATGATGTTCTGACACACCCTGGTATTGTGATGTCATCATCTTCTCATGTCCCAGTGGTGTTATTCCAGGACTCACAAATTAATTCGTGGAATTCTCACCCAAAAAATGATCAAACATGGTACCAGCAGAGTTGACGTTTCCAATTCAACTGTTTTCTAAGGGCCCATAGAAATGTCAACAAAACATATTCATCAACCAGTTCGTTATCAATATCTTCATTCACCAAGCCAGTATGTTTGGATTATCCAAAATCATCCCCTACCCATCCCTGCCCATCCCTAAACCCCTCCAAAAAAAGGGAGAGATCACCCAACCTCCCCAACCTTCATCACCCCCAACCCCCATCTGCCAAGACGCTTGCCCCGTCCATCCCGGTGCACAGATCCACTGCCCATCGTCGCTCTCCGCGGCAACGCTCCAGAGATAACCCTCTTGGGAGGTCGCGGGTGGGCACGTCATGCTGCAGATTTGAGGAATCCAGGTCAACCTGAGGTGATGGATTTGATGGATGGGATGGGATGGGTCAAAAAAATGACCCAATTTTGTAAACGTGTTGACCAGCGAAAATGACGAACATATGGATACAATCCCATATCAACTAACATATATTAAACCTATATGAAACCCATTAATTATCCCAAGATTTTGAAAAAACGTGAGACTTCCCATTCTTAAACCCATATTAAACCCATATTAACCCAACATTTTGTTGAAACAACTCATATTTTCTCCAAGATTTTCGTTGAAAACCAAGGGACATTTGCTGCGGATCCGTGTTGGTCTTCGGACAGGAGGCCTGTGACGTTGGACCCACGAAGAACGGAGCCTTGCACCGCACCTCGCAGGACCCGCCTGGCGGTTTCAGACCGATCTGTGGGGGTTGGGAAGATATAACTATATTATGGTATAAATACGAGAAATAATACCAAATTTACCATAAATAATGGTATAATATGGTGTGTATATATATATATATATATGGGTATATGATATATGACTATAATAAATAATGGTATATATGATCTATGGTATATGACTATATATAATTACCAGTTGTATGATATAGTATAATATGGTATATATATATATATATGGGTATATGACTAATTATAGTAAATAATCTGAGAATATTCTTTGATGTCTTTGGAAGAATCTGAGAATCAATGGATAATATCTGATTGATATCTTTGATATCTTTGATATTTCATGTCTGATTTGGGTTTTCAAATCATCAGGCAGTTTGATGCTTCAACTGATAATATCTGATAGTGGATGGAGATCACAATGATATCTAATTATGATCTTTTTGACTTCAACTTCATGTCTCTTTTGTTTCTTTTAATTGTAAATCCGCCGACCCCGGCCTTCGCCAAGGCCGGGGCGGCGCCTGGGACCACCGCAGGTGTGGAACTTTTCCTTCTTAGCTTTCCAAGGTCAAACCACATCGCGTAAACCTTCTCCTGGCATGCGTCATCCTCCAGTTCAGATTTCCAGGCATTTGGACATGAAAATTATATGCTTTGGGCAAGTAAGTTTTCCTGCGGAAAATTTGGTCTTTCAAGGCCAAAGCAGCCGTTCCCGCATTCCCGTAGTAGCGGTTCAAGTCATCGACCTGATGAAGACGGCGGGGCCCGTCCTTTGCCTTCCGTGCGGGCACCAAACACGCGAAGGCGCCTGCGCCGGCTTCACCTGTGCAAGGCCTTCCGCGCGGGCTTTAAATGTGCGCGGCAGCTTCCACCAAGTTCCTGGCCGTCAGCGTTCCAGCATTGCAGCCTGCCCTTTGCCTGCACATAGCCCTGTCTTGTTAGGGCATTCGAGCCTGCCGTTTGCCAGCCTTCAAACGCTTAAAACCCCTAAAACCCCTAAAACCCTCCACCGGAGGTGTGGAACCGCGCCACCTGCCACCACCCTTACAATCCTCCAACTGCTGCATGGCTTCCTCGCGGCAGCTGCCACCAAGCCCTCTGGCCGTCAGCCTTTGCTGCTCCAGGGTTGCAGCCTGCCCTTTGCCTGCACCGTCAGCGTTCCAGCATTGCAGCCTGCCCTTTGCCTGCACATAGCCCTCTCTTGTTATAGGGCATTCGAGCCTGCCGTTTGCCAGCCTTCAAACGCTTAAAACCCCTAAAACCCTCCACTGGAGGTGTGGAACCGCGCCACCTGCCACCACCCTTACAATCCTCCAACTGCTGCATGGCTTCCTCGCGGCAGCTGCCACCAAGCCCTCTGGCCGTCAGCCTTTGCTGCTCCAGGGTTGCAGCCTGCCCTTTGCCTGCACATCGTTTGCCAAGCTTTAAACCCTTAAAACCCCTAAAACCATCCCTCGCGGCAGCTTCCACCAAGTTCCTGGCCGTCAGCGTTCCAGCATTGCAGCCTGCCCTTTGCCTGCACATAGCCCTGTCTTGTTAGGGCATTCGAGCCTGCCGTTTGCCAGCCTTCAAACGCTTAAAACCCCTAAAACCCCTAAAACCCTCCACCGGAGGTGTGGAACCGCGCCACCTGCCACCACCCTTACAATCCTCCAACTGCTGCATGGCTTCCTCGCGGCAGCTGCCACCAAGCCCTCTGGCCGTCAGCCTTTGCTGCTCCAGGGTTGCAGCCTGCCCTTTGCCTGCACCGTCAGCGTTCCAGCATTGCAGCCTGCCCTTTGCCTGCACATAGCCCTCTCTTGTTATAGGGCAGCCTGCCGTTCTCCTGGCATGCGTCATCCTCCAGTTCAGATTTCCAGGCATTTGGACATGAAAATTATATGCTTTGGGCAAGTAAGTTTTCCTGCGGAAAATTTGGTCTTTCAAGGCCAAAGCAGCCGTTCCCGCATTCCCGTAGTAGCGGTTCAAGTCATCGACCTGATGAAGACGGCGGGGCCCGTCCTTTGCCTTCCGTGCAGGCACCAAACACGCGAAGGCGCCTGCGCCGGCTTCACGTGTGCAAGGCCTTCCGCGCGGGCTTTAAATGTGCGCGGCAGCTTCCACCAAGTTCCTGGCCGTCAGCGTTCCAGCATTGCAGCCTGCCCTTTGCCTGCACATAGCCCTGTCTTGTTAGGGCATTCGAGCCTGCCGTTTGCCAGCCTTCAAACGCTTAAAACCCCTAAAACCCCTAAAACCCTCCACCGGAGGTGTGGAACCGCGCCACCTGCCACCACCCTTACAATCCTCCAACTGCTGCATGGCTTCCTCGCGGCAGCTGCCACCAAGCCCTCTGGCCGTCAGCCTTTGCTGCTCCAGGGTTGCAGCCTGCCCTTTGCCTGCACCGTCAGCGTTCCAGCATTGCAGCCTGCCCTTTGCCTGCACATAGCCCTCTCTTGTTAGGGCATTCGAGCCTGCCGTTTGCCAGCCTTCAAACGCTTAAGACCCCTAAAACCCCTAAAACCCTCCACCGGAGGTGTACCAAGCCCTCTGGCCGTCAGCCTTTGCTGCTCCAGGGTTGCAGCCTGCCCTTTGCCTGCACATCGTTTGCCAAGCTTTAAACCCTTAAAACCCCTAAAACCATCCCTCGCGGCAGCTTCCACCAAGTTCCTGGCCGTCAGCGTTCCAGCATTGCAGCCTGCCCTTTGCCTGCACATAGCCCTGTCTCGTTAGGGCATTCGAGCCTGCCGTTTGCCAGCCTTCAAACGCTTAAAACCCCTAAAACCCCTAAAACCCTCCACCGGAGGTGTGGAACCGCGCCACCTGCCACCACCCTTACAATCCTCCAACTGCTGCATGGCTTCCTCGCGGCAGCTGCCACCAAGCCCTCTGGCCGTCAGCCTTTGCTGCTCCAGGGTTGCAGCCTGCCCTTTGCGTGCACCGTCAGCGTTCCAGCATTGCAGCCTGCCCTTTGCCTGCACATAGCCCTCTCTTGCTAGGGCATTCGAGCCTGCCGTTTGCCAGCCTTCAAACGCTTAAGACCCCTAAAACCCCTAAAACCCTCCACCGGAGGTGTGGAACCTGCTTTGTCATAGCCCTTACCAGGCTTCAAACGTTTCAAACTCTTACAACCCTCCAAATCCCTCGCGCCACCTGCCACCACCCTTACAATCCTCCAACTGCTGCATGGCTTCCTCTACTTATATATACTGCCACCACCCTTACAATCCTCAACTCGAGCTCCCACCGGTCTGTTTCGTGTAGGTCTTGAAAGTCTTTACTTCTCCTGTGGTTTTATTTACTGATCCTGCCCTGCCACCCCCACAAAGGGGGGGTCGGCGGCACAGGGCGCTAGCCCATTCTATTTGGCAGTTTGGGTTGATGCCGGACCCATTGCATGGGTTGGGAAAGAGCCGGATTGAGGACCTGCCGGAACTGCGGCACAGTCGGAGACATCGAAACCACAAGCAGCTTGCCTCGGATTCGAAGTGATGATGGATGCTCTGCTGGGATGACATGGAACGGATGGATTCCGAAATCAGAAACAGATGTAAACAGATTATGAGAGATTGACCAGATTGAAATCAGATTGAAATCAGATGGATTATGATTATGATGGATTATGATATTATTTACATCTGTTTACTGTCCCAGATGTAATCAACCTCTGGGACTTCCATCCAAGATGCTGTGGCAAAGTGGCGCAAGGTACCTCTTCGGCACATCCCTCCAGGATGGTGGCTGTTGGCATGCAACGATCATCCTCGGAGTTCGAAAAATCAGCAGCAAAAGAACGAAGGGCATCAGAATAACCCAATAACCCAGGCATTTAAGGATCCCATCATCAATAAGGCCTGGAACTGACTCAAAATACCCAAATAAACTCAGAAATCGATGTTCCAAGCTCATTGTTTCTCACAATCCACTTGAGAGGTATGAAGAGGTGGGGAAGAAAAACAAGAAAAAAGTGGTTCTGCCCTAATTCTATCAACACACTGGACAAAAATCTATCCTCAAAGGAATCCAAGACAGCTAGCTTCATCATTTTAAGATACCAGAAAAAAGGTTTGGAACAGCCTAATGGGGTTAATGAATGGAAACCCCTAATGGCTATCTTCAATTGATGTTAATGTTTATGTTAATGGATGTGCTCCCAACATCCCAAGCAACTCCCATGTCACAGCTATTCAGTTGAGCATCCATGGAACAGATCTTCTGTGCAGTTCCGCGATAGCCCAGTGCACAAGCCCAACCAGCACCTGACGGAATCCGTTGATGTCTGGGAAGTTTGATGATCGTTTCAATTGGTATTTTGATGTTGGAAATTGGTGAACAAAATGATGAAAATCCACGAAATGATCAAACGGAATGCAACCAAAGTTGACAAACCCCCATTGGAAAAACACACACTTTGCCAGTTCAACATCTTCACTTCGGCAGCAGTTTGATCTTAGTCAAATCAACCAGGCCTGTCTTGTAGTAGCCTGGTGGAACTGCCGACAGGTCCGGATCCGGGCAAAATTGGGTGCAAGCCTCAGGGCACATGAAATCATATGAAATCTATGATGTTTGGTGTGATTTCCACTTGAACTGCCTCAAAGTGCTCTTCTTCTTGGATTCTTAGATGATGGTGATGGAATATCAGTGGCTTTACCATTTTTACCATGGGTTTCATCCCCGTTTTTTGCAATGCCAAGTGTCTGGGGGTCTCCATCGTAAGCCCGCAGGGTCCAAGTTGTCCAAAGGACATTCCGCCACTGTGGGCTGGCCCTGGAAGGGATAGGCGCAATGAACCTGTCAGCAGAGGGTGAAAATTCCGAAAAAGTTGAACGGATTACAAATGGAACATCAAATTTCTTCGACTTTCACGCAGGTTTCAAATGATGATATTTTTGGTGAAATCTCCCCAAAAAGATCAGCAACATGTTGGGTGAAAATCTAACTTCCAATCATTTTTGCTCAACAAAATCCTGGAAATCGCTGTGCCGAGGCACATGGCAGGTCTGTCCGGGGAGGACCGTGGCGCAGTCGCTCATGTCCACGCTGCAGGTGAGCCTCGGGTCTTGCCGGCATCAAAAGGTGTGGAAAAAGGTAGGAAAACATGTGAGATGTTCTTGAATTTCAGCTGGCTTGTTTTTCTGATGTCAACCTCTGATGATTTCGATGATGTTTGTATCGTTTGTTTTCATAAGAGTCACGATGTTTCTTGAAATTCAGAGCATCTCTTGGAGTCATCAAGCGCACCGCAGCGCATCGCACCGTGCACCGCAACCAAGTGGCGATGTTGGCGCAGAGCACGCCGAAGGATTTCCACAGCCCGCCAGCTCTCCAGCTGATGGCTGACAGTCGGGACCATGTCTGCACAGCACCTGGCACAAGTCAAAATCGCTGGGAAAAATGATGAAAAATGACCAGAAATCTCACTTTTTACTGGCATTCAAGGATGATTGGGCAGATTGTTTAATCTTCCAATGAAACTTCGAAGATGTAGTCCCGATCCATTTTGGGGGCCCGTGACATCAATGCAACCAGCTGCATCATCAAATTCTATTCCGGTCTGTTGTGACAAAAATCGATCTTAAGTCTACCAGCCAAACAACACAATATCGATCTTGTCTCTATTTTCTAAACTTCAAGGTCAAGAAGTTCGCATCTACAAATCATCCTAAAAAATGCAGAAATCACATGAAATTACTTTACTTCGTATGATCCCCACCATGACATTTATACATTTTCTTACTGGCAAATCTTCTGGCATTCTATCTGACATATCTTCTGACATTCTATTTGGCATTCTATCTGGCATATCTTTTGGCCTATGATCTGGTATATCTTCTGGCATATCTTCTGGCATTCTATCTGGCAAATCTTCTGGCATTCTATCTGGCATATCTTCTGGCACTCTATCTGACATATCTTCTGGCATTCAATCTGGCATTCTATCTGGCATATCTTCTGGCATATATTCTGACATATCTTCTGGCATTCTATCTGACATATCTTCTGGCATATATTATATTCTGACATATCTTCGGGCATATCTTCTGGCATATCTTCTGGCATATCTTCTGGCATATCTATCTGGCATATCTTCTGGCATATTTTCTGGCATTCTATCTGGCAAATCTTCTGGCATTCTATCTGGCATTCTATCTGGCATATCTTCTGGCATATTATCTGGCATTTTATCTGGCATATCTTCTGGCATATATTCTGACATATCTTCTGGCATTCTATCTGGCATTCTATTTGGCATTCTATCTGGCATATCTTCTGGCATATCTTCTGACATTCTTTCTGACATTCGTTCTAACTTTCTTCTGCACATTCTTTGTCCCATATCTTCCTACATGAGGTCCGGCAGGGAACACTTGGCGTGGATACTCGCGGTTGAGGTCCGGCAGGGAATACTGGGCGTGGATGGTCGTGGTTGAGGTCCGGCAGGGAACACTGGGCGTGGATGGTCGTGGTTGAGGTCCGGCAGGGAACACTGGGCGTGGATGGTCGTGGTTGAGGTCCGGCAGGGAACACCGGCAGGGAACACTGGGCGTGGATGGTCGTGGTTGAGGTCCGGCAGGGAACACTGGGTGTGGATGGTCGTGGTTGAGGTCCGGCAGAGAACACTGTGGATCGCGGGTCGCAGTTGAGGACGACGAGGACGACGAGGACGACGAGGACGACGAGGACGACAAGGATGACAAGGAGGACGAGGAGGACGAGGAGGAGAGGAGGAGGAGGAGGAGGACGAGGCAGGAGGAGGCAACTGACATAAAATCTAACAACCCTCACCTGGCAGGTGGGGAACCACCCAGCTCTCAAGCTTTCACCCCCGTCCCAACCCATCGCAAGCACCTCGGCTTTTCCTGCGAAGCCGGCTGCGCAGGTCCATTGACCATTCACCTGTGCATAGCTCCTGCAGGTCATCTGCTTCCATCGATGTTCACGTTCAATTCTTTTCCACAGAAAAACTCATGACATCTTGGAAAAACAAAAAAAACATATATATTATGATTCTGATCAAATGATGTTCTAAGATGTTCTAAGTAAACCTACTGAAGATAATCTACAATTTTTCAGGAATCTGCAGATGACATCAACGATGGAATTCACTCTCCTGGGCACCGAGACAGGATCCGGACAGGAAGGTAAGCTGCAGTTCGGAAGCTCGGCTCCCCAAGCCCTGGAAACATCTGTAGCTCTGCAAAATTCCCAAAAAAAAACCTGCAGAATGTCCGAGGAAATTGGAGGTTTTTGACACTTGAAACTTCCATTTTTTTTCCATGGATTTGATATGACATATATGACATATATGATCTGATATGATTTGATATGATCTGATGGTTATTTTCATGCAATGGGTGTGAGTTTTCAGCCATCTGAGCTTCGAACACGGTGGCCCAGGGATCTGTGTTCTCCGGAGGACATTGTGCGATGCCCGGTGTCCCTTGGTAAGGTGCCTCCAGGGCCAAACTTTGGAAATGAAAATTATGAATGGAACATCTGCGAAATTTCCAATATATATGATGAAATCAAATATCATCAAGATATGACATGGAAAAATGATGATATCTACAACATCTGGGAAATTGAGCAAACACGATTCAATTCCGGTTGATTTATACATTTCTGTACATTTCTTCAAAGAAAAACACGAAACGCTGCATCTGGAAATCCTCCAGATTTCAGCGCACCTTGCAGCGAACGAAGCAGGAGCCGCCGGGCGCTACTCCCATGCAATCCGAAGCATCCTGCGGTGCTGACCGCTTTGCATATCCCATGCATATTTCCAATAGTTCCACCAGTTCCAATAGAGCTTCTATATATATATATTATATATATATTATATATATATATTATACATTATATATATATACACATTATATATATGTGTGTGTTCATATCATTTTTCCAGAATCCAATTTTCCAATCTTCCACTCATCATCCAACTTCGTAGCCATCCCCGTTGCCATCCCGTCGGTCCATGACGCAGTCGTCGACCTCCAGCGGCCAGCAGGGCTTCTGCAGCGCGCAGCCGCTCAGCGCCGTCGCGGCGAAGCAACTCTCGGGCTCGACCTCGCAGAAGGCCTGCGGAAGGAGGATCTGGTAGGTTTCCGGTGGGAAAAATATGGAAAAATCCAATATCATGGGAATTTCCATGATAAAATATGGATGGTTGATATTTTTTTTTATAGGATTTTCCAAAATAACACATCCAAGTTTTTGGGTACCACCATTTCAGAAAACCTCCATAGATGTTGGAAGATGTTGGAATATGATTGGATCGGGATGATAGTAACTATATAGTGGATTTTTAAGTTCATCACATTTTATAACTATACTTACTGTCTAGTCAACCCAATGGGTTTAACATCCAAAAAAGGGGTCATGTTGGTTTACCGATGAACTGCAGATCCGATTGAGAAGCTGAAACACGTAGCTGGTGGAAAAGCGTGTTCTTACAACCGTACCTGCTATGATCAGAAAATAAGTGTTATCATGTGTTATCCACACTACTCATTGTGGTGATTATAGCAGTGTGTCTTTTCATGACAGTTCCTTATTATTTGTGGTGATTGTGACATTGCCATAAATCAAATAATAAGGCGTGCTGTCATGAAAATACTGCGGCTGACATCGCAAAGACTCATGATCCAACCACTGGAGATACAAGTTGTACATCTCCTTTCGAGCCATCTTCAAGGTGTTTCGCTTCTTGAAGTGCCAGTTTGATCACACTTTCTTGGGATCAACATAAAACCATATAAACCCATATATAGTAAAACCATATAAAACCATATAAAACCATAACATAGACCCGGGCAAGCCGGCGGCGGAAGTTTCCCAAACATAAATGACCTATAGTTCAAAGACACCCTGTCCCGACCGTGTCTTTCCCTCGACACTCCACACCTCACACTGCACACTGCACTCTTCGCACTCCAAACTTCAAACTTCACACTCCACACTTCACACTCCACACTTCTCACTTCTCACTGCTTCCTTCACACTCCAAACCTCACACTTCACACTTCACACTGCGCTCTTCGCACTCCACACTCACAGTCCACACTTCACACTTCTCACTTCACACTTCTCACTTCTCACTGCTTCCTTCACACTCCAAACTTCACACTTCTCACTTCGCACTTCACACTCCACACTTCACACTTCTCACTTCTCACTGCTTCCTTCCCACTCCAAACTTCACACTCCAAACTTCACACTTCACACTTCTCACTTCGCACTTCACACCCCACACTTCACTCACACTTCACACTTCTCATTTCTCACTTCTCACTGCTTTCTTCACACTCCAAACCTCACACTTCACACTTCACACTGCGCTCTTCGCACTCCAAACTGAAACTTCACACTCCACACTTCACACTTCACAGTCCACACTTCACACTTCTCACTTCTCACTGCTTCCTTCACACTCCAAACCTCACACTTCACACTTCACACTGCGCTCTTCGCACTCCAAACTGAAACTTCACACTCCACACTTCACACTTTTCACTTCCCACTGCTTCCTTCACACTTCACACTTCACACTTCCCACTTTTTCCTTCACACTTCAACGCCAGAGCAGAAAAAGTTGATTTGAAATAGAAAATGAAAGCAGCCAAAATCTGAAAGATCCTTTTTTTTGTCACATGTATGCAGTACGATCATGGTTTTTTGTGCGGTTCGTAACAACGCACACAGAAACCAAAACCAAGTGACAGAGGCATTCTGCGGTTCGCAAGGTCAAATGAAAGGCGAAGCTACTGAAGCACAGCAATTCACACCCGGATGCAGTTCATAACAACGCACACCCAGCCCTCGGCAGTCAAACGAGAGTTGAAACCTCTGCGGCAAGACCTTGTCTGCGCTTCATCTCAGCATCAACAAACTCTGGTTGAAAGGACCGCACAGCTTCCCAGAGATGACGGTATTGTCTGCGGAGAACTTCGTCGTCCGACTCTTTGTCGTCCAACCACGTACTGTTGTTGTGCAAGACGATTTTGAAGCACTTTTTAAAAGGATTTTTAGAAGGAAAATCACTGACGCCAAAATGGAGAAAATCTGCTGACAAATCACTGTGGCACATACAGCCACTCCAATACGATTTACGAAGTCCAGCTGCAAAAGACAATAGTATTACGAATGCAGCCACAGCACGAAGCAACCTTGACGCAGCCACTACAATGCGATCTGCAGAGACTCAGTTGCAAAACGCAATAGACCTACGCGCAACGGCGTCGGAAATTGTAGCTCCAAAACCGGATCTCGACGCCAGAGCGAAAAAAAGACGATTTTGAAGCACTTTTTAAAAGGATTTTTAGAAGGAAAATCACTAGCGCCAAAATGTAGAAAATCTGCTAACAAATCCATGTCGCAGCCTTCATGCAGCCACTCCAATACGATTTCCGAGATCCAGCTGCAAAAGACAATAGTATTACGAATGCAGCCACAGTACGACGCAACCTTGACGCAGCCATTACAATGCGATCTGCAGAGACTGAGTTGCAAAGCACAAGAGAACTACGCGCAACGGCGTCGGAAATTGTAGCTCCAAAACCGGATCTCGACGCCAGAGCGAAAAAAAGACGATTTTGAAGCACTTTTTAAAAGGATTTTAGAAGGAAAATCACTAGCGCCAAAATGGAGAAAATCTGCTGACAAATCACTGTCGCAGCCTTCATGCAGCCACTCCAATACGATTTACGAGATCCAGCTGCAAAAGACAATAGTATTACCAATGCAGCCACAGCACGAAGCAACCTTGACGCAGCCATTGACACTGCGGGAACGATCCTACAGTTGCAAAGCACAATGGAATTCCATCGGCAACTCCTCCACCAGCACCATTTGCAATCCCATTTACAGTGAGGGAACGATCCTAGAGTGGGAACGATCCTAGAGTTGCAAATCACAATGGAATTCCATCAGCAACTCATCCACCAGCACCACTTGCAACCCCATTTACAATGCGGGAACGATCCTACAGTTGCAAATCACAATGGAATTCTGTCGACCACACATGCACGAAAAACAGTTGACACCCCATTTACAATGCGGAACCGATCCGAGAATGATCCGAACATGATCCGACCACACACGAGACCGTCTCGCACCCGTCGCACAGCAGAGGTAGATCATCGACGTTCGGGGACGCACATTGTATGGAAAAACATAGGCTTTCGTGCATCTGCTATCTCTCAAAAACGCATTTCGTGCGAGACTTCCTCCAAAACTCCATCGGCAACTCCTCCACCAGCACCACTTGCAATCCCATTTACATTGAGGGAACGATCCTAGAGTTGCAAATCACAATGCAATTCCATCAGCAACTCGTCCACCAGCAACACTTGCAACCCCATTTACAATGCGGGAACGATCCTACAGTTGCAAATCACAATGGAATTCTGTCGACCACACATGCACGAACAACAGTTGAAACCCCATTTACAATGCGGAACCGATCCGAGACCGATCCGAGAATGATCCGAGAATGATCCGACCACACACGAGACCGTCTCGCACCCGTCGCACCGCACAGGTAGATCATCGACGTTCGGGGACGGACTTTGTATGGAAAAACACAGGGTTTCGTGCATCTGCTATCTCTCAAAAACGCATTTCGTGCGAGACTTCCTTCCAAACTCCATCGGCAACTCCTCCACCAGCACCACTTGCAATGCCATTTACAGTAGGGGAACGATCCTAGAGTTGCAAATCACAATGCAATTCCATCAGCAACTCATCCACCAGCACCACTTGCAACCCCATTTACAATGCGGGAACGATCCTACAGTTGCAAATCACAATGGAATTCTGTCGACCACACATGGACGAAACACAGTTGAAACCCCATTTACAATGCGGAACCGATCCGAGACCGATCCGAGGATGATCCGACAACACACGAGACCGTCCCGCACCCGTCGCACAGCAGAGGTAGATCATCGACGTTCGGGGACGCACTTTGTATGGAAAAACATAGGCTTTCGTGCATCTGCTATCTCTCAAAAACGCATTTCGTGCGAGACTTCCTCCAAAACTCCATCGGCAGCTCCTCCACCAGCACCACTTGCAATGCCATTTACAGTGAGGGAACAATTTCTTTGCTAACTCTTTCTGTGACTAACTCTTTTCCTCACTAACTCATTCTTTGACTAACTTGTTTCTTTGCAAACTCTTTCTTTGACTACCTCATATATCCTGACTAACTCTTTCTTTGACTGACTCTTTCCCTCACTAACTCTTTCTTTGACTAACTCTTTCTTTGACTAACTCTTTCCCTGACGAACTCTTTCTTTGCTAACTCTTTCTGTGACTAACTCTTTCCCTCACTAACTCTTTCTTTGACTAACTCTTTCCCTGACTAACTCTTTCTTTGACTAACTCTTTCCCTGACTAACTGTTTCTTTGCTAACTCTTTCCTTGACTAACTCTTTCCCTCACTAACTCTTTCTTTGACTAACTCTTTCCCTGACTAACTCTTTCTTTGACTAACTCTTTCCCTGACTAACTGTTTCTTTGACTAACTCTTTCTTTGAATAACTCTTTCCCTGACTAACTGTTTCTTTGACTAACTCTTTCTTTGACTAACTCTTTCCCTCACTAACTCTTTCTTTGACTAACTCTTTCCCTGACTAACTCTTTCTTTGACTAACTCTTTCCCTGACTAACTATTTCTTTGCTAACTCTTTCTTTGACTAACTCTTTCCCTCATTAACTCTTTCTTTGACTAACTCTTTCCCTGACTAACTGTTTCTTTGCTAACTCTTTCTTTGACTAACTCTTTCCCTCACTATCTCTTTCTTTGACTAACTCTTTCCCTGACTAACTCTTTCTTTGACTAACTCTTTCTTTGACTAACTCTTTCCCTCACTAACTCTTTCTTTGACTAACTCTTTCCCTGACTAACTGTTTCTTTGACTAACTCTTTTCTTTGACTAACTCTTTCCCTCACTAACTGTTTCTTTGACTAACTTTTTCCCTGACTAACTCTTTCTTTGACTAACTCTTTCTTTGACTAACTCTTTCCCTCACTAACTCTTTCTTTGACTAACTCTTTCCCTGACTAACTGTTTCTTTGACTAACTCTTTCTTTGACTAACTCTTTCCCTCACTAACTGTTTCTTTGACCAACTCTT